CACGTCATTCTAACTCCTCTCACATTTTATTCCTTTATTTGTCCCCTTCTGTTTCTAAATGCTTCTCTCCTTAGTCAATGGCTCCTTACCTGTTGCCCATAAACTTGTCCATATCTCTGCCATCCTTAAAAAATAAAACATTCCACTCCTCTCAAAAAAAGAAACTTCATTTGATCCTGATATCATTAGCCTCTACTATCTCATATCTTTACTCTCTTTTGTAGCCAACTTCTTAGGGAAAAGTGTCACTGAGTCTCACTTCTATTTTCTTATATCCCATCTATTTCTCAACTCCTGAAGACTGGATTTCCAAAATAACCACTGAAATTGCTCTCTTCAAAGTAACTAATGATTCCTTAAGTATGAAATTTCACAGGTTTATCATCTCTCCTCCTTCTTGAGCCATCCGCAACATTTAACACATTTCACCATCCCCTCATCCTGGATACTCTTTCCTTCCTGGTAGTTCATTTAATGCTCTTTCCTGATTTCCTCCTTCCTCTGTATCTGAGTTCTGCTTTCTAGTATCCTTTGATAGATCATCTTCCAAGTCTTGCTGTCAATACATTCCAGCCTTCTAAGCTAGACCTTCTTATCTTCTCTTCCTACACTCTGTAAGCAGCTCCCATGCATTTGATTAACCTGTCTCTGCAGATGACTCCAAAATATAGATATCCATCTCTTACCTTTCCCTTCAACTCCAGTCTGAATCACTGGCTACATGCTAGATGTAGCACATCTCAAATTCAACGTGTCTAAAGAAGAACTTATTATGTTTTCCCTGGAAATTTGCCTTTTTCCTAACTTTTCTATTTCTATTGAAGGTATGACTTCCCCAGGTTTTCAACTTTGTAGTCATCAGAGCCTTTTTACTCTTCCTTAACACTAATATCCAATCAGATGACAAGTCTTATTGGTTACACTTTTATAATATCTCTTATTTGAATCTCTAACTAATTTCTAGTCATACATCCATCACTCTTAGTTTCCACCCTCCATCACCTTTTACAAAGGGCAGCTAGGTGGCAAAGCGGGTAGAGCACCAGGCCTGGAATCAGGAAGACTCATCTTCCTGAGTTCAAATCTGGTCTGACTATTTCTAGCTGTGTGACCTTGGGCAAGTCAATTAACCTGATCTCCCTCAGTTGCTCATCTGTAAAAATATGCTGTAGAAGGAAATGACAAGCCACTCCAGTATCTTTTCCAAGAAAACCCTAAATGGGGTCACAGAGAGTTGGACACAACTGAACAACAAAACCTATTTACAAAGAGTAATCAATTAGTTTCCGAATCAGCCTCTCTTTGTCAAGTCTTTCTCCTTCTGTAATCCTTCTTCAACACAGCTGCTCAATTGATAATTCTAAAACATAGGTGTGATCATGTCATCCCCTTGTACAAGACTCTCTGTCACTACAGGACAAAATTTAGCTTTTCTGTTTATTTTTTTTAATCCCTTCACCATTTGGTTACAACCTTTTTACAACCTTTTAAAGATTGGTTCTAATCTTTTTACAGATTTCAAGTTGTATCCGTTAGTCTATATTTCAACTGGCCTAGCCTACTTGTAGTTACTTGCATATGATATTCTATCTCCCATATCAGAGCCTTTCTCCTGGGAGGGATACTCCATGTCTGAAATACTCTATCATTTCACCTCCAACTCTTGGAATCCTTAATTCCCTTCAAGAGTCACTTGAAGTGTCACTTCTTACTAGCTATCTTTTCTGCCTCTACCCCCATAATTCTTAGTGGACTCCCTCCTTCCGTAATTACTTTGGTTTTACATTGTGTGTGTGTGTGTGTGTATGTGTGTATAGATATAGATATAGATATAGATATAGATATAGATATAGATATATATAGATATAGATATAGATATAGATATAGATATAGATGATAGAGATACAGATACATAGATATACATATAGATATCTAGATAGATATAGATATAGATACAGATACATATATATACATATATATACATATACATTTACATATACATATACATACACATACACATACACATACACATACACATACACATACACATACACACACACACACACATACACATACACATACACATACACATACACACACACATACACATACACATACACACACATACACATACACATACATACACATACACATACACATACACACATACATATACATATAGACATACATATAGATATATAATTACTTTTTTGCCCTCCCCAGCAAAATATAAACTGTCTCAAGTTAGGGATTTTTTTAATGTTTTTTGTCTTTTGTATTCCTAATACACATAGTAGGTGTTTGATGAGTGTCTACAAAACTGAAATAATTTGAAGTTGCTATAAAGATTAAATTGTATAATGTGTGTGAAAGTAGTTCAAAAGTTTTAAAATGCTACAGAAATGTCAGTCTATTATAGCATTGTTGTTGTTACTATGAGTACCACTGCTCTAATTTGGAGCCACAACAGCCACACCATTTAGTTCTGCTGATTTACAAAATATCACTCATTCAAAATACTTTGGTACAAGAATGAAACAGGCCAATGAGGCCAGGGCAGAAGAGTTTTGTCCTGATTGTGTTGGTCAGGCATTTGGGTCTATTTTATCATCCTCTGGCCTATAAATGTGTAGAGTGAGTGGATGATTGATGGACCTCATCAAAGGCTCTTTGGGTAAGAGAATGGTTCAATCAGGAAGTCATAGAAGTAGTCCAAATATGTTATTTTGAAACTCTGCCATTTTTTCAGGCCTCCCTTTAAACTAGTCACTCTGTCTCTGCTGGGTGCATATGATACTCTTAAAATAGGCAGATACGATGGCATCCTGTTTTGGGTATAGTATATAATTGTTGTTGTTTTTGTTGTTTTAACTAGCATTTATATAGTCCTTAATATTTGCAAATAGCTTTACAAATATTAACTTATTTAATTCTCACAACACCCCTAGAAAATAGATGTTACTATTAGCTCCATTTTACAGATGAAGAATTTGGGACAGAAAGAAGATAAGTGACTTGCCCAACGTCACATATCTAGTGTCTGAAACAGGTTTTGAACTCAGGTCTTCTGGATTCCAAGTCCTACACTCTATCCATTGTAACACTTGCCTTCTATCTTTAGCCACTATATTTAAGTGGGAGAAGTAATGTGAGATTTACTGGTATTTGTGAAACTACCCATTTGTGGTATTGCCATCGAATCCACAGTTAGAAATGGAGTGATAGACTCAGGATTCTGGTGGGTAACAGAGAGCATGGGTGTGATAAGCTGGCATACTTGGCTGTCTCCTTTATCTGTTTCCTTAAGCTGTCAGCCATACCTATAAATAAGATACCTAAGATAGTGAATTGTGCCTGATTTCCCATTACAGCTTAAATAACCACTTGATATCAGAGCTAGAGGAAGATTTCAAGATTTCCAGGTTTAACCTAATTTTGTAGAAGAGTAAACTAAAATCCAGAAGTGATTTGATCCTAACATTTTAAGATTTGCAAAGTACTTTATCAACATTTTCTCATTTAACCTACAAAATATTGTATGATAAGTACTACATAGGTATTATTATCATTCCTATATTACCATAACCATTTGTTAGGAAGATTTTTTTTCCTTCCTTTTAGTATGTTCCCCCTAAGTCATTTCTTTACCAAGCTAAGTATCCCAAGTTCTTCTAACTGATTATCAGATGGTATTATCCTGAGGCATTTGACCATGATGGTTGACTTTCTTTTGAAATTCTCCAGTTTATCAATATCTTTGATAGAATATGACATCCTGAATCAAGAACCTTAATTTTGATGTGATCTGACTAGCGTAGAGTATTATGGACCTATTATTTTGCTGTTCCTTGATATGCTATCTTTCTTAAAGCAACTAAAAATTTCATTAGCTGTTTTGGCAACCATATCACAGTGTTGACTTAATTGAGTCACACCTCCTTTGTCTTATACTAGTATATTTATTTTTGCAATCCAAATACAATAAAATATTTATCTCTATTAAATTTCATCTTATTAAATTTGGCCAAATTTTCTGGTCTAACAGCATAATTTTGAATTCTGATTCTGCCATCCAAAGCATTAAGTAACCTAACTAGCTTTGAGTCATTGGCAAATTTGATAACTATGCCATCTATGCTTTAGGTCAAATGATTTCTATAGGATTGTCCATCCTTTTGTATCATCTTCTGTTGCCTGCCCTTATTTCCAACTTCATATATGACTTTCTAAAATCTAAGGTGATCAATGAGTTCCCTTTATCTTGACAAAAGAATTCTCTTTCCTTCTCTTCCCTTCCCTTCCTTTCCCTCCTCTCTTCCTCCTCTTCCTCCTCCTCCTCCTCCTCTCACTGTCTCTCTCTCATTCAATTCTTTAACATTACTAACTTTCCTTGAATTTTAATTCATGACATCCTTTCTCTCCTGCCTCTGAACCATTAGAAATCTATTTCCCTCAAATTCATGGTGCATGCTGGATAGTATTTATTTTTCCCTCTTGTAGCACAAACTCAAATATGGGGTTTCCTCCATTTTCATTCAGTACCCAGTATTTCCTTGTTGGTGAAAATCAAGTCTAGACATAGTTCCCTCAATGCTTTATCTACCTTCTAAAGGATGAACTTTTCCTCAAGCCATGACAACAAACTACTCTGTTTTTGACAAAGAGATACCTTAGACAGATGTTCAGATAGCTCACATCTCCTGTTGCTATTGTGTCACATGCCAACCTTGTGATCTACTTCCCAAACCACGTTGTTTCCCCCTTCTGTCCAGGTGGTCTATAGTATATTATGCTCACGATATGGCTTCTGTTTCTGTATCCATTGATCTTAACCCAAATGTACCCCATTATGCTTCTCTATTCTGTTTCCCATATTTTCTCAGGTGAACATATCTGCTTAAAATACAAAGAAAACTGGGCTTCACTTTTTAACGTATTTGATTTCTTTGGAACAAGGTCAATATTTTCTGAAGCATGTTCCAAAGAAGGTTCTACACAACCATCTTTCATTGAAGTCCATTAAGTCAAATTTGTATGCTTGTATTAGAATTTCAAGATCTTCCTCGTTAACCTTACTCCATTCATCAACATATTTTAAATGCATAATGTGTGTGTGTGTGTGTGTGTTGTATTGAATCGCATTTATCCACAGCTATATGAAGCCATTGTTTTCACTGCTGGATTTTTTTTTAAATATCCTCTACTGCTTTTCTTCTTTTAATACTGTAGTTACTATGGTATCCACCTTACTGAATATACAAAGTCAAATTTACCCCATTCTCTTCTTTCCAAATTAAAATACTTTTGATTAGATTTGCAGACTCCAGCAATGACTCTCCCAATCCCTAATCTTCAACTACCTCTTCTTAACTATTAAGTCTACCTTAGCCAAGAGTCTGTCATGCCTACATTCTATACTATAGTCTAGAAATTCAAATTTCATTCTGACACAACTAGCCATTTAATTTCCAGTTTTGCCTTTTTCCTCTAAAGCCTCTTCTCTCTACTGACGTCAGTGGTAAAACAAAACAAAACAAAACCCAAAACAAACCCAATGCCATTAACGTCTTTAATTTCTTGAAAAAAGAAATTCATTATCATAATAGAGTTCTATAATTGGAGTTAGGACAAAATGAGTTTAAATCCTGACTCTAACACTTGCTAGTGGTATTACTATTAAAAGGATACCCCCTTTGAACCTTAGTTATTTTAATTGGAAAATGGGAATAATGATATCTATTATACCTATCAACTTTTGAGACTTAAATATGAAAGCATATCCAAAATTTCTTGTAACCTTTAAATACATGTATATCAGTTCTCATTTTTAATCCTTACTTATAGATTTCTTCTGATAAAGTCATTTATGCCCAAGTGAATTATTACAAGTGATTTTCTTCCTCTGAGCATCTGCATCTGCAGACAAATGAGAGATGTCCTTTCCATTTGTCTCTAAAATCTGTATATCATTTAGTGGGATGCTTAGATTGTATATTTTGCTAGTCCAGAGCATGCCATGGTAACTTATCTAATAAAATTATGCTGACTTCATTTATAATAGCCTCTGTTCTACTTATATTTTATTTCTGAAGCATTTGAATTGTATCTTTCCATTTCTCATGTATCACTTTGTACAGGCAGAGTGCATGAAAATGAAGACAGGATATAGTCCATGACTCACAGCCAAATAGCAAAGGGATGAACCCCATACATGACAAACTTCTCTTTTAGTACTAATTTTGAATCTCTGGTCATCGCATAGACTTTTTGCCAAGTGCTCAAAGCAACTTTTTTTTTGCAAAGTAACCAATTTCTTTTGTTTCTCATCACCAATACATTGATCATCTCTATGATGAAAAGTAGAAGGAAATGTTACCTTGCATGCTACTCCCTGCCACCTTGATCTCTGAGAATTTTCGAAGATGGGGACTATGCAATACATTTGTCTTCCCATTCAGAAGGAACTGAATTAAACCAGAGGTTCCAACACTGGTAGTCCTTCAGAGCTATCAGGAATATGGGGGTGGAGTGGGGCAGGAGGGCAGTAGTACTGAGTACCCCAGCTTAAAGACCTGCTGGTGTGCAGAATATAATAGATTACAGCAAGTTTGTTTCTCAGCTGTGAAGCCTTCCTTTGTCCTGTCCCATTGTGGTTTTGCTGCCTCTTGGTCCTGTCTTTGCTCTTAGATCCTATGACAGCCAATGATATCACTAGTATTTATAGACATACATACTCTGTTTCTATGTTCTTGCTTCTGAGTGGTCTACCAGATCCTGGATTCATATTACTATAATGTGTGAGACCAGTGTGAGAACCATGAAGAATCAATAATTACTTTTTGGTCACAATCAGGTCAGATAAGACAAATCTTCCAAGCACATTGAAACTATTTGGTGAAGAGTCTACTGTTCACCAAATATGTCTTGTTCCCGAATTGTAGAAAGAAACCAGAAGAGTTGACCGAGTTTGAGTTACTTGGCCAAGCCTGTCTAGCAAAAAAAAAAAAAAAGGAAATCTAAGCTCATTTGGCACATATTTGAATCTTATGGGTGGTTCTTAATATCTTTGTGACCTTGGCACCTTACTAGGACTCATTTTCCTAACCTATAAAGTGTAAGAATTAGACTATACCAACTCAAAGAGCCTCTCCATCTCTAAATCCTTTAATAAAAAGTAGTGAATCAAATTACTCCATTAAAGTTTCCATTTTATGCCCTAGCCCACTGGCCATTCTCTAACCAGTTTTGCAGAATATTTGTATAAACTTATGAAGCTCCATCAGCTAGTGATGGTTCTTCTTGGTTTGAATTTCCCTGCTTTGAGTTTAACTTTTGCTTTCTCTCTCTTTTTCTGCTTTTATTTTTAAACATGTTTGATAAATTAATTACCTCTCTGCAAGGTACTTAGGCTTTGAACCCTCCCGCAGGAGGTCTGGCTCTAGAGTTTGATAGTGGCCACTGGGGTCAGCAAGCTTACAGGCTACTTAACAATATGAAAGCCAACAGAATCAAACAAAAACAGAGAGAAAAAGATGGAACTATGAAAATTAATGAAAAGCTGCTGAATTTCCCTAGACTGCTTGAGGAAAGCTATTTGAAGCTTGCCTAAATATTAAATGCATTCATTAAGTGCTTCTCTCCTGTTTGGGCAAATCTCAAAGGTTTTCAGTGGCCTTAAATTTTTGGAATATTAAGTCAAGAATTTGCTATTTGTAGAGAGGAAAGAGAGAACATAATTCATATTTAAAAGCATTTTTCAACTGAAAGGAGCCAAATATCTTTCTGTAGGTCTGGCTTTCTAAATAGATAAAATTAACTACAAGAGAACAAGTGGTTCAGTAAGCCTGAGCCTAGGAAAAGAAATCATGACCCTAGTGGGTCATAAGTTCTAATCTTAACCCTCCCCCCTAAAATGATATGTAACACTAGACAAGCCAGCTAACCTCACTCAGCATGTCACTGAAACTTCCTAATATTCACTTGGACCATTTGTAGGATAAGAGTCATATTAAGTAACTCATGGGTTTCTATTTGTAGAAAACACTGTAAATACCAAATGATGATGCATATGCCAGATAATGAAAATATCATTTTCTTTTCCTTCCAATTTGTATCTTATATGTTCTCTTCTTTGGACTGTCATCTTCCTGAACAGGAATTAATTGTAAAGGTGTGGCTATATCCAGGTCATCAATTTATCTTTAATGTTAACAAAAGAATTAGCAGAGATGCTTCGCCTAAGAAGAGCCCAGAAAACTTTGAAAAGTAAAGACTCCATGGAGGATTGAAGTAGGTTTCCTTTTCATTTAACCTGATAAGAGATAGAGATCTTTGTCAGGTACCATGCTCTATGGCACAGAATAATATAGAAGTTCAGAGTTTGAATCAAGGCACAGTTGAGGAACAGGAGAATAGGAAATCTCATTGCCAATGACAGATGGCAATGATTTGGAAAAGTACGAGCTTAGAACTTAAAATCTTGAGTTCCAATCCCCTATATTTACATAAATACCTTCAATTCCTGATACTCAAAGTTCCTTATAAACTCTTGTGGAAGAGTTACTAATTAATGCTAAGCATGACCAATGTGCCCATCAGAGAAATCTCTGGATGCACAAGCCTGCTTTACAAGGTCTGCATTGTTCATTCCATCAGGCACTGGGTGGGGAAGGGGGGAGGGTAACTGCTTAGGGAAAAGCCAAAAAACTAAAAGGTCACTGATGAAAATGCCCTGCTTTCCTCAAGCCTAAGTATTTCCTTCCTATAAGAATTCTCACATGCTGCATGAGGAAAGGTTGTAAAATAATTCCATAACTTTAACAAAAAGCAAGGAGTCTTAATCAGTGAAACAAAAAACTCCAGAATTCTATGTTTGGAGAAGCATATAAACTGAGCTCTAAGGACCAGAAGCAAAGATTGCAAATACAACTATGCTTTTGAAGCTGCCCATTTTGGAAAGTTCATTAGGGAGTTCCACACCGGATCTGGGAAGGATTCAATATAGAATTGGAGGGAAACTTTCCTCCCTTGAAAACTGAGGAAAAACTGTGCTGACATCCACTTAAACAAAAGAATTAACTCTATATGTTCAATATCCTGATAATAACTTTTACAATGCAAGAACATAATTTGTAAGAGTACTTGGATATCCTTCTCTCATGAGAGAAGCCTGAACATCTCCTAAAAGGGTGACTTTCTTTTGTCCTTCTTGGTGTCCCATCAAATTAAAGTCTAGAAAAGTGATGGCTGAACTGAGATGCTAAGAGAATCATAGGGCAAAATGAAGGTATGATAATTTAAAATTGGGAGAAAATCCTGGAAAGTCTGAGATGATTGAGGTACAACTGAAAATCTCTGCTTTTTCTTATTTTTAAAGGAAGTGGGCTTGTTCAGAGGATCAAAGGCAAGGTAAAGGAGCTCTACTGAAGAGCAGCAAAAAGCAATGGAAGAACAAATATCAAGATGAACTATGGCAGACTCAGCAAAAAATACTAAATGACTTTGGAAAAGACTTGTCACAATAGATAAGGGGTACCTCTTGGAGTAGTAGTTTAACCTTCCTACAATGCATGCACGATTACTTCTGGGGATGAAATAAAGAATAGAAATGGAAAAGAGGAAAAAACTTCTTGCATTTTGAGAAAAAATCCCATTCAAGTAGAGAGGAAAGGGTTATAAGGGAGGAGAAAACCTTGTGTGTGTTTCATTTTAAGCTACAGTCTGTGAGTAAATAACCATGATTGCTGTCCCTTCTCTGGGCATGACAAATGGGAAGTTACTCTGTAAGCATTGGCTAAACTCTAATCGCTTTTATGGCAAATGAGGCATGAAACCTATTGTCAAAAAACATGATGTCTGAAGTGTAGAGCAGCACTTTATCTTCCCAGCAGATTCCTCAGAGATCTGAGCCAGCTAAGGGCCCTGGGATACTTCAACAATTGTACCCGAGTCCCTCTTTCAGGCCAAATATGAAGGAAGGTCTATCTGGACAGCATGTTCTGTTTTACAGAAGTGATTTTTCCCAAGTGATGGTGGGAACTCTATAAATAGAGAGAAGCTAAACTGCAACTGGGAGACATGCAGGTGGTTGTGTATCAGGGATCTTTTCCTGCAAGTCCATTGAGAAATGTGCTGCACAACATCACAGAATCTTTCCAGTTCAGTTATTGGCCATTTGGGTAAGGACCCTAATGGTAATGAAATATCCTGGGGATAGTTCTGCAGTTACTCTTTCATCTGACTTGAAAGGAGAAATAGTGTGTTGCTTAGAAACAAGAGAGAGCCCCAAACAGCTCACTCTTAGTTTCATTCTGATGACTGAGAAATGACTCCCCCTCATAGTAGATGTAAGGAGGTCACTTGCCAGAACATGTTTGGGTCAGGGACATTTGCATCCAGTTTTCTCTGCAGCCAGGTGGCCTCCAGGTCCCAAGGGCACCTTGTGCTGAAGCTCTGATTCTGCCTCTTGTCAGTTGCCTTGAAGCTCATGGTGAAAATATTTTATAATGCAAACATTTAGAAAAATCAGACAGAAGGTTCCCCCTCCCTTTTGTGCTCATTTCTAATTCAGGGAATTTTTCCTCCTTCTTTAGCCTGTAGCTGTGAGGCTTTGAAACTGATTCAATTCAACAAGTTGAACAACCACTCATTAAGTATATACTATCTATTAAGCACTGATTAGAATGAGTGGGCATCATAAAGTAGCTCCCAGATATGAGAGGAATAGTTATTATGGACTGTTGAAGCCTATCAAATTATGCTAGTCTGTGTTCTAGCCATCTTACTTGGTCCTTGACACTTTATTTTTCAGATTCATGTTAGGAACTGGGTGTCCTTGATAGATTTCTCTTGTTCCACTTTACAGGCAACTGATCCTCACTACATTGGGCATAATCAATTCTACTAGAGGAAGCAGTGCCAAGCCTGTTCAATCTTTCCTCACTGAGCAACAAGGAAGAAAATAACTAGGGAATGCATAGAGCTGAAACAACTTGGGAAAGAAGGAGAGGAAGAGACAAGTTGAGATCTAAGCTCTGACAGGTGGAAATGTTTGCCATCAGAGGGAGAGGCTGACACTCCACATTGATGCCAAACATGCCAAGCCACAGAAGGGGGTGAAGAAAACATGAGAAGAGAGAGTCAGGCTCAATATCTGAAAGAAAGAAATGGACATACAAGTCCCTAAGGAGTAGAAGGACCTGCTTTTTGGTTTTCTCCATAGCCTGTGATCTAAATCAAGATGTGTTGAGTGAGCTAATTAGTGTATTAAAGTAATTAGGTCCAGAAGAAACCTGCCACATCTGAAGCAGATTGAATTTACACTATTCAATATGTGAAAGTCATTTGCTGACAAATCTCCTTGGAGAGACTTTTGACTAGTCAAAAGGAGGCTGAGATCAATCCCTCCCACCCACACCCCCCTATCCCTAGTATTCATACAAGAAATTATGGCTTAATTTTGTCTTAACTGTAGGATATGCATTTACATTGTGCTAAATGCCGAGGATACAAAGAAAGGTAAAAGATAGTCCCCACTCTCAAGGCACTCACAATGTATATAGTTCTAAACAATTATATTCAGGCAAACTATACACAGGATAATGCACAATTATATTCTTTATAAATTTTCTAGTAGGATTGTTATCTTTCACTACATTCCACCACCCCAAATGACCCTTATCCCTACATCCTCCCTGTACTCAACACATAGGCACCTATGTCAGGCTCTTTTGGTTTCTTTCTGTTTAAAGATCTTTCCCTCCCTCTTTAGTTGCTTATCTTCCTTCCTCATCGTACCAGGAGCTAAAGAAGATGCAAAATTAGCTAAGTCTCTGCCCTCACAGAGCTTAGAGAATGGCTAGAGATAAAATATGTACATAAATAAATAGAACATAAAATAAAGCGGAAAATCATGCACAAGAGAGTTAAAAGCCAACCCTTTCTCTTTCATCGTTTGTTTCCAACCATCATTAGGTAAACAATGATTAAACTCCAACTATGTGCTAAGCACTGATGAAGACAGAATGATAAAAAAAAAAAAAGATACAGTCCTTGACCCCCTGGATTTTGTGAATAAAAATAATAAAAATATCTATGGAAATAACTACAAATAAAAATAAAATGTATGTGGATAAAAGAATGAACTAACCTTTCCCCAATTCTCCAGGTACTAAAGTATAGTTAAAATAGAATAAGTTTCCTAAAATTGTATCCCCAGCCATCCCTAAAGTGCTCCAAAAGGAGGGGACCCCCTTAGATGGTCACTACATCCACTGTCATTGGAAAGTCAAAGTCAGGATTTTCATGATTTCCAAAGATCTCTCAATCCTCTTAACTGCAAAGTATTTCTCTCTCATTTATAAAGATAATCTGTCACAGGAATCCAATTGATTCAATTTTCCTGATGATCCTGAACCCTTACCTCTGAAGATGGTGTCCAAGAATATCCTTCCTGGCATCTAGTAGGGCAGAGGCTTGTGCCATGAACTGAGAGCTACAGGTTAATGATTTGAGCTGCAGAAGGAGAAGACCCAAGCAGAATGTGGCTCCCATCTCTTCCAGTTCACGGGTTCCCAGCTGTAGACCCTGCCAAAGAGACACAACTATGAATAAATGATTCCTAGGTTCTCTTCCTACCCAAGAAATCAGTGAATTGATAACATGTCTCAACTATTCACATTATACATTATATCTGGAACCTACTAATGAATTCGGAGTTATAAATGACACTCAGTAGAATACAAGCTCATTGAAGGCAAGAACTATTTTTCCTTTTGCCTTTGCAATTTAGGATCTAGCACAATACATCACAAATAATGGGCGTGTAATAAATGTTTGTTGAATTGTATTGGATTGCACTGGGAAAAAAGACACCTCCCTCTAACCTAAAGAAATTGGCAATTTCCTGAAGAAAGAGATGAAGACTAAAAAGAAAATAAAACAAGCCTTTCTCTAAACATAAATGACTAAAGTCTTAAAATGTTAGTACACAGCTAAATGCATCTGTAATAGTATTTACAATTCAATGCTAAGCCAATGAAGTGTACAAGATGAAGAATTTTCTTTTTTTTTTAAACTAGGTCCATTTCTTCCCCCCCATTTTACTGATTTATTAACAATCACTTCCATATGCTTTTGAAGATTTTTCTCCCCCTTCCTCCCTCTCACCCTCCCCAAGATGGCGCACAATCTGATATAGGTTTTACATTTACATTCCTATTAAACGTATTTTCACATTAGTGAAGTTGTAAGTAAAAATTAAAACCGATAGGAGGAACCATCAGAAAGAGGAAACGAAACTCAACAGAAGGTAAAAATAAGTGATAGCGATTCGACTTCCATAGTTCTTTCTTTGGATGTGGATAGCATTTTCCATCCCAAGGCCTCTGGAGATGCCTTAGATCCTTGTAATGCTGAGAAGGGTTCAGTTTAACAATCTTAGTCATTGCATAACGTGGCTGCTATTGTGTACAAAGTCCTCTTAGTTCTGCTCACTTCACTCAGCATCAGACCATATAAGTCTTTCCAGGTTTTTCTGAAGTCAGCCTGTTCATCATTTCTTACAGCACAATAGTATTCCATTACATTCATATACCACAACTTCCTCAGCCATTCCCCAATTGATGGGCATCCTCTCAATTTCCAATTCTTTGCCACCACAAAAAGAGCTGCTATGAATATTTTTGTACATGTGGATCCTTTTCCCATTTGTTTGATCTCCTTGGGGTATAGCCCTAGAAGTGCTATTGCTGGATCAAAGGGTATGCACATCAAGATGAAGAATTTTCAAGAGAGGAAAAGGTTTATTTGAGAGAAAGTAGTGACTGGAGTCTGATGAGGCTTATCTGATATTGTTGTTCAGTTGTATTTCACTCTTTGTTACCCCATGGATCACAGAATGCCAAAATTGCCCATGGGATTTTTTTGGCAAAGATACTGGAATGGTTGCATTTTCCTTTTCCAGTAGACAAAGGAAAAGAGAGGTTAAATGACTTGCCCAGGATCACACAGCTAATAAGTGCCTAAATCTGGATTTGAACTCAGATCTTCTTGAATCCAGGCCCTGTTTTCTATCCACTAAGCTACCTAGCTGCTGCCTTTATTTGATTATAATAAGCAATTAATAATAATATTACTAAAAATACTAATAGTAGCTAGCACTTATACGGAACATACTACGTTCCAAACACTATCTTAAACACTTTACAAATATTATCTTATTCAATCCCCACAACAACCCTGAGAAGAAAGTGCCATTATTATCCCCATTTTTTAGTTAAGGAAATTGAGGCAAACAGGGGTTAAGTGACTGCCCAAGGTCACACAGTAAGGATCCGAGGTGTATTCGAACTCATTCTATCTCATTCCTCTTAGCCTTTGGGAACCCACGGACATTGGCAATAATAGTCAGAAAACATCTACATAGGAAGAATCTTGAATCTAAGAGAATTATCTAGAGTTTGGGAGTCAAAGGTGCTCAAGGTTATTTCATCAACTTATGAATCTCTGTTGCTGCATGTTTTGACATCTGTTTTCCCAAGGAAACAGATATTGCTCCAGTACTAGGGGAGGTCTGTTCTTTTGAAAACAACAGCAGTGGGAGGAGAAAGATAAATGTTTTACAAGTTCATAATTTTTTAAGTCAATAGAAAAAGATCACTTTTTAAAAAGCCAGGCAGTTAACAACATCCCTAAAGTGTTTTCTGTGTGGTAAAAATCTATGATCTTACTTAATAAATGAGCTTCCTCTCTCAGATATGTCTTCTTGATTTCTTTCCTCCATGCTCTCACTGTTTAGTATCTTTGGTGATTCATTAAGAACTTTCATAAATCAGTGACTTCATTGATGTGAGCACTCCCTTCATTTGTGAATATTTCGATCCATCCATGTCCTCCCATCCTGTGTGAGTCTTGTCCATTTGTCCCCTCATGACTCCTCCAGAGAGGTTCTACCCAATGAACATTCCTCTAGGTCACATAGAATTTCATGAATTCCAGTGGAGTATGCTGAGAGTCTACCAGCTCTTTGTCAAATAATGAGGCCAAGATCTTTGGTTAATGCTAAGGAAATCAACATCATGGGTTCAAATGTGATCAGTTCCAGTTCACTTGTTTATATGCCAGTAGCCACACCCATGATACTATAATTCAACCATTTTACAAATGTATGCACCTATTTCCATGGGGAACTGGATTGTAAGATATGAAATGATTAATAAAATCCATTTTTGCTCCAGAAACAAAAATTCAAATGAATTGTCTATGAGCAGCTTATTAGAATCATCTTCATACAGGCCAAATCCTGCTACCAAAACCAAACATCACTACAGCAACATTTTTTGTATAACAAAACAATTTTCAATTCCCACATGATGACTCAATCATTTCAGGCAATGTTTAACACAATTTTTTTAAAGTCAACTATAATGGAAATATGTGGACATTCTGTTAGAGTGTTTTGTAATAGTAATTGAGTTGTAGACAAAGAAAGGTCATTTACAGCTGTTCATTGGTTGTCAGAAAATTTTATTCATCTAGGAAACTTCATTTTAAGAATGATTTAGTGACTATCCCAGTAAATAAAAATATATTAATGGACTTCTAATGAGAGTTAGAAAAGGGTGGATAGGGGGAGGGTGAACTTTAAAAATGCTCTTTTGCCTTGACCAGTATAGAACCATTGTAACAGAATTTAAAGAGCACAGCACCAAAAAAATCAAAAAGCAAATTTTGAGTGACACTGGACTTCCTTAGCTGGTGATATTGACCATATACTGCATCATTTTTTAGTCATGTAGTGGAGTAGTGAGTGACCTGCCTCAGACCCTTACTAGCTGTGAGAAGTTGTAAAATTCATGGCACAGTGCCTGGAATATAGTAGGTGTTCAAGAAACACTTCTTCCCTTCCCCCTTCCCCAGGAAGATCTGAGGTCATGGCTTGTCTCTGATATGTACTGGCCATGTGATACTATGCAAATCACATAACATCTCAGTACTCTAGGCAACTCAGACTCTAATTGCAGAGAAAGAATGCCAATTTACTTTGGCAGAAAAAGTTTCCTCACCCAGTAGTTCTGCATATCAATAAAATCACAGGACCAGTTCCTTATATCTACACCTTGTACATGTTATTTACTCAATAAATATTTGATAAATTTATATTAATTTCCTATTGTGTGAAAGGCACTATGACAGGTACAAAGGATACAAAGACAAAAAAAGGAATCTCTAGCTTCAAGAATTTACTAATATAGAAGAATAGAGATGTCAAATTCAAATACACATTATAATCCCAAGTGTGGCCTGAACCAGATTAAAATGGATGTGTGTGTGTGTGTGTATACAAAATAAATAAAAATATAATACTAATGCAAAATACAAATATAAAAATACAATAAAATAAAACACAAAATATATATAAATGCAATAGAATATAAATGATGCCCACAAAAATAGTTTAATGGACTCATTTCTGTTTGAGTTTGATACAACTATACTAAAGAATAAGACACATAAAAAAGAAGTAAATTTAAGATCCTTTGAGGAGATTAAAAGAGTACTAACAACTACAGAGACCAGGAAAGGTTTCCTTTAAGAAACTGTGCATGAAATGAGCTTTGAGGGAAGTTAGAGAGTCCAAGAGATAAAAGTGAGGTAAGACAGCATTCTAGACCTCAGAAAACAGAAAAGAAGGAACAGAAAACAGAAAAGGGGAACAGAAATGACCTCAGAAAACAGAAAAGAAGGAACAGAAAACAGAAAAGGGGAACAGAAATGACCTCAGAAAACAGAAAAGAAGGAACAGAAAACAGAAAAGGGGAACAGAAAAGAAACAGGAGCTGGAATGCCAGGTTCAGGGAACAGTAAAAAACTATGAAAATAATAGTGATATAATTCTGGAAAGGTAACCTTATTTTACTATTCAGCATATAACCCAAAGAAGTCAATCACAGAAATCCCACATATATCAAAACATTTTTAGTAGCATTTTTGTGGTAGTCATAAAATAAGAAACTGGGTGTTCACTGATTGAGAAATGGGTAGACAAATTATGTCATAGGAATATGCTTGGCCATCATAAATATAAGGAACTGAGAGAAATGTGGGAATACTTGTACATAATAATACAAAGACAGAAACAAGAGGAAAAGATACATCATGAATATATTGTTTTTAAAGGCAACACTAAAAAAGCAGCTTAATTCAGATTCATTACATTGAATAATCTGTATTCCAGAGAACAGATGCTAAAAAAAATAACCTCAATAGAGAGGTGGAAGACTACTCATATACAATGTTATCTATACTCTCAGATCTAGTTTCTCAGTCATTTTTGCTTAACTGTTCCCTCATTTAAAAAAGAGTTTAGGGGCAGATAGGTGGTGCAGTGGATAGAGCACCGGCCCTGGATTCAGGAGGACCTGAGTTCAAATCCGACCTCAGACACATAACACTTACTAGCTGTGTGACTCTGGGCAAGTCACTTAACCCCATTACCTAGCCAAAAACAAACAAAAAAATTTAAAAAAAGAGTTTAAATAGAGGAGAGATATCCTGGGCAATGACTTTTTAAAGCACATTTTTTT